GTAATTTAATGACTGATTACTTGTCACTAATGGAAATCAACTTGGTAAAACCAGTTGTGACACAAATAACCACCATGAAACCATAGTAAATACAGATCTTCTCAGATTAATTTTTGTTCTGTGCACTTTTGATACAATTCATATCTTAAATGTGACATGAGCATTCAAATTATTGAACCATAAGCCAAGTATCTACATGTCTGTGTATATGTTTGTCCTAGAAAACCCTCAGGGGACCTCCCTTAGCAATCACTGCTCAAAAAAATGACTCACATACCCACATCCACACCAATTCTTTGCAAAGATAACAGGACAGGAATGATTGGCTCAGACCAGTCATTTTTCACCACCTTGGAATAGGCTTCACTTCCCTTGAAGCACATGATCCCCAAAGATAATACCACAATAAAATTGAACTTCTGTTAAAGTGTGAGGAAGGAGAAATGGTCAACTAACAGTGTCTACTATACTCAGTAGATTTGAGTACATAAAACCAAAGAGACTTCACCTAAATTAACTCATGGTACAAACAAAATAATTTAAAACTTACCTTCACTTGAATTTCAGATAGTTATATTATTTTTCACTCAGCATAGTATAAATGTGAACCAAAACTAGGTTAATTATTTTGTGCATCTATATTCCCTACTCAGTACAGAGTAGGAACACAGTATGTATTTTCTTTAAAAAACGAATTTAGGCCGGGCACTGTGGCTCATGCCTGTAATCCCAGCACTTTGGGAGGCTGAGGTGGGTGGATCACGAGGTCAAGAGATTGAGACCATCCTGGCCAACATAGTGAAATGAAACCCCGTCTCTACTAAAATACAAAAAATAGCCGGGCATGGTGGCATGTGCCTGTGGTCCCAGTTACTTGGGAGGCTGAGGCAGAAGAATTGCTTGAACCCAGGAGGCGGAGGTTGCAATGAGCCGAGATTGTGCCACTGCACTCCAGCCTGGCGATAGAGCAAGACTCCGTCAAAAAAACAAAACAAAGCAAAAAAACCCCGAATTTAGAACATGTTTTAAAGCATAGTAGGTATAGTACTTCAGATATACAATTGTTTTTATTATGCTATTGCTTATATGGGATAATTTATTTCAACAGCGCTTTTATTGTGTTACTTTACCTATCGCATATATTTAAAATAATGCCTCAAATTCACAAATCATCTTTTAAGCTAGTATAACCTTATTCATTGCTATTTCAAAGTCTTGTCTTACTTTGTCAATTCTATTCTGTGCAACATTACTTCTTTCCCTTCTTACACAAACCACATATTTACCTTTAACTTTTATCATTCTGCATTATACCATGGACCAAAAAAAATTAACTTGCATGCATGATATATGATCTCCTATTACCTAATACTATATAGCAATTGGTATAAACACCTCTTTCACAAGGATGGTCTATGTCCCATTTTCAGAATTATCTTTCTTCAAATACCACAGCTTAGCTGGCCCTGATTCAGTGCCATTTCCATTAATATTTTTGTTGCTCTAAGTATAAAATGTGTAGAACGCTTAACTCATGCTGTGATTAAATTCTGGAAAGGAGAAGATTCCAGGCTTCAAGGCTAAATGCAGCAATTGGAATTGTTAAATACTGAGGATTTATCACTCCCTTCACTTCCTAAGTTCCTTGCCTCCTGTCATTCAAATATGCTCTGCACTTCCTTTCTTCTGGGTTTTGGCTTACTTAGTTTATTTCCTCTGCTTAGACTGCCTTCCTCATGTAAGTTTCACCTTGAAAAAAAAAATCTAACCAACCTTCAGGGCTAGTCTTAAATTCCTCATCCTCCTGGAAACATTTTATGTTAATTCACCAACTGAAATGTGTGGTTTTTTTTTTTTTGAATCTACATGGCAATTTGTGCTCTCCTACTTTATTATTATAGAATACATTTTCATCAGTACATAACTAAACTTTCTGTGTGTGTGTCTCTCTCTCTCACTCTTATCTAAAGTACTTAATATATTACATTGCCTGAAGTTGTTTCCTAGAAAGGACCCCTTTCCCTAGCCTGAATAACCTACTGATAGTTCAAAGAGGGAGGGTTCCTCGGAGTTCTCAGTAGTCTGGAGACACAATCCATCCCATCCCTGTATACCTCATCACAAGAAGTCCATGCATTATCTCCAGGGCATACGTCCCCACCCAGATGCTTCTTTCCATGCAATGTCTACACACCTTACTCTGACTCAGTTTCTCACCTGACTTTTATCCTACTAACAAACTTTCCCCAGAATTCCTTGGAAATCACAGTCTATCATGAACAAAATCCCCTAAATATCCAACTTTCTCTCTCAGTGTTATCTATGCTTTTTGATTCCTTCTTTCTTCTTGTACCCCTCCTTGAAAAAGGCACTGCTTTCTGTAGATCTCACAGATCTCCCCGCTACTATAATGTACATAGTACAGAGCCTAGGAGTACAGAGCAAGCATCCTTCTGTCTCCATTGACACTCAGGCCTAATTCCCCTGAAGTAAATGCCGCCCCTGACGTAAATGCCATCAAATAATACCACCCACTAAATTTCCTTGTTATAGTCATCACATACCTTTTGAGTAATCTTTATTAATGGAATATTTCAAGATTTGGCTTATCTTTCTTTCTACAATACAGTATAGGGTTAGTAGCATAAGCGGTGATGTAAAAATCCACAAGGGTATTCTAATCACAGAAGCATCCAACAGTCAATGATTCTCTTATCAATATTGTTCTTTGATGGATAGGGACCTTTCGTTACCCCATATGCCAACCACCTCATGGCAGCAATACCTCAGTATCCCCACACCCTTCTGATCTCTAAGTGCTGAAGTTCCCAAAACTTAGTCTTTGTATTTTTTTTTGTCAACCCCATTTTCTAGGTGATTTCATCTTGGTCTATTACTTCTCTCTCAAGTTTAGATCAGCATTTGCAACTGTCTTGCCAAGAATTAGGTTTTTGTATTGAAAAAGCCTCACACATCTTCATTCCTGCCATCACAACAGGCAGTGGAGGAGCTATGGGAATCTGTTCAGAACAAAAACCATTAAGTCATTCTTGATTTTTCCTACTTTCCAATGCACAATTCATCAGCAAATCCTCTATGTTCTGTCTTTTAACCCCTTTCTCAAGGTCTCTGCAGCCTATCTACATGGTTTGAGCTACCATCAAATTTTGCCTAGACAAGTCATGCATTAGACTCATCTTTTATTCTTGTCCAAAAAACATTGTTACCCATTCCCGACATCCACCCTGCACAGCATCTACAATAATTCTTTTATATTGAATTATGTCATAACTTAATAAAATCATTCAAAGGCTTTCTTTCTAACACACCTAGAACAAATCTCATATTCTAGCCCCAGGTACATTTCTGAACTCATTTCCAATCAGACTTTTTCATTCACACTATCCTCCAGCTCCCTATCAACCTTTAGGGCTTTATAAAGAAATCCCAGCATGCTGCTCACCTAAGAATCCACAAGTCTTGGTCTTTTCCTTTATTTAGGTCACCGTTTCAGTTTTATCACAAAAGAACTACCTTGACTTTCTTATCTAAAATAGCACCACTCTCATTCTTCCCTATCAAACTTTATTTCCTTAAAATTTATGACTACATAACTTACTGGTCTATTCATTTCCTCAACTCTTTTGCCTGTATTACTAGGGTGGGAACTTTGTTTTGATTGTGTATTTGTTTTTTCAATTGCTCCATATCCAACTTCTAGAACAGTGTTTAGCATGTTATAGGTACTCAAATATATTTGACTAAATGATAGAACTGAATCAATTAAGAGTTAATGAAACTAAAATATAAAATAAGATAAAAATCAGCTACAGAGGATTCTTACTTGTGGATAATAACATAAATTAAATATGAGTGACAGATTTGTGGACCACTTTTATTTATAAATGGTGATTCAGATCAGGGGTCAGGACTTGGCATAGTGGAAGAGCTATTTTGCAAGTCCAACAAAATTAGGTTGAAGATTTTTTCTTACTGAGAGTGTTTAATAGGTGATAAAACTACACATAAGAAGAGCTCTAATCATGGTGCTCCTGGTAATAGGAAAAGAAAGGCAATTACTCATGTGTAAAACTAGAGGCAATCAAAAACTAGATTTGCCAGAGATGTTGAGGTTTTATGTGCAATTTACAGCAATTTACAAGTTAACCACTAAAATGCTATCCAAAATATATCTCTGCAGTTGAGAAACCAAAACGTTCAGCATCTAAACTTTTCCCTCACTAAAATGTAGCATTTTCAATTTTTCTTAGTAATAAAACATTAGTAATACACATTTGATTATAGTCATAAATTATTTGGTTATAAACAATTATAATAGTAATGGTAATAAACATTTGATGACAAAGAAAAATATGGAAAATTTATAACTTTGGTCTTAGATATTGCATTTTGAAATTTCAAGTAAGCCAACATTCTCTGAGATATCAAGGTTTTAGTAACTTTTACTAAAGTGCTACAATTATTCTGTTATTTTTTACTTTCATTCAATCAGCATTTAAAATTCAAAAATTTATCTCAGAAAAAAAATTGTTAGATATTTATTACACTTTTTTTTCTATTAGAAGTGGTAATTTTATATTTATCACTAGAGAGTCAATTTTGAGAATCTTTTGAGTTATTCTACTGGAGGCAGACAAACTACTAAGAAAAGATATAACTTTCAACATCTTATTCAATGTAAAACATCATACATATTACTAAGAAAAGATATAACTTTCAACATCTTATTCAATGTAAAACATCATACATATTTTATTACCATGTTCATAGTAAAGATAAAACTCAAAAAGTTGCTTAGTGTTTTCCTGATTAATCTGTATTGAGTTTAGATAACTAAACTAATACAGCTCCAAGTTTCAGGCTTTTGTTTATACAGCATGAGTAAGTACGCAGTTAATGCAAACTATAAGGTTACAGCTATCTGCAAAACCTGAGCTTTGCTTTTATTTTAGTTCTGTATATTAACATAATTTTCATACCTTCACTCTGAGTACAGAAGTAAACATTCTTGCATCTTCAGATACACCTCCGATGTAGAATTTTTTCTGAAACACTGGGGGATTATTATTTTCATCCTGAATCTCAATGTACACTTTAGCTGTATTGCCTGGAGGACAAGAAATGATACATTTTTTATTGGTAGTTATTCATGGGGGAAAATACACTGAAGTAAATACTCACTGTACTTTTTTGTTTTTGGAAACATTCAAAATAACTTAAGTCAAATGCTATTTCTAGATGGAATGCCTAGCACCCCCAAATTCAGGGGACACTGATAATGATACTTCTGGTATAAACATATTAGGTTGCTGTTATTTCTTTTAATTATAATGTCCTGGTAATTCATTTTACTTGATTTAATTTGGCACTAAAATATTGCACTCTGCTAATTTTAATGAAACACCTCAACCATTCATGTTCACAAACACTTCACACACAATACCAGTTATACCAAAGGAACACAAATATATAAACCCCTTATGAAATAACAGAAATGGCCATAAGCTAATATATGAATATATATTTATTTATTCTTAAGTATAAAATCAGCAATGGCATTTCTTTAGCTTAAAATTATAGTATAACATTTTTATTTTAAGACTAAAAGTAACAATGTTTGGGTGAGCTGTTTATTTCCACAAACAGAAAACACAATTTCTTACGCCTTGGGAACTGTCAATGTTAGAGGCTAACATTCATTGAAAACAATGTAGCTGAAGATACAATTATAATATGACTCATAAATGATGCATTTTGCCATTTAAATAACAGCAAATATACCATACATGTCATCATCAAATTTTAGAACCTCCCTCAACTCATTACACCTTTAATGAGAAATGCAGTACTTGTCACTAGTCCAATAATGACCTTTTAAAACATAATTTAATATATAAAAAAAACTTATAAACCAAATAAAATGGGAAATAAGTGGTTATTCATGTTGAAAAAAAATAGATTCAAATAAGTATTGCTAGTGTATTACTTAAGTCAACTTTTCTGATGCATTTCAGTTATGGACAAATATATGGCAATTAATCTACATACTATTTATCAAGGATGCCCTTATTTCGGTGTTTTACCTGTGTTTAATGCCTCCTGTGCAATTTTGAATAATTAACACTAGCCTATTGCAGGGTACATCATGGGTATACAATATATTTGTATTGGTTGAATAAATGAATGAATGAATAACATGTATTAGTAAGAACTTAGAAATAGTCTGTTTTTGTTTGTTTGTTTGTTTGTTTTTGATTTTGCTTTTGCTTGCCCTGGGAAAGGTCAGAGAGAACAGGGAGTTATGTCCAAGATTTTGCTCCTATCCTGCTGCCACTCATTTAGTTTTTCTCTATTTGTCATCCGCGACCTGGAAGAGGTAGAATCAAGAGGAAAACTGCTAGCTCCACAGAGAAGAGAACCAGCAGGGCAGCAGGGCTAATAGCGGATTATGCTTCTCTGTCCTGCAGTGCCAGGACTCTGACTTGAACCCTAGTCAGCCACCGCAAATCAGAGTTCATTCAAAATGAAATTAATTTTACTTTAGCAGCAGACCATTTTATCGCTAGAATCGAAAAAGCTAACAGCTCTAAATTTAAAAATAAAAAGAGGAATTTTAGAATACATCACCTTTCCAATAACGTTTTTCCTCTTTTATTCAGAAATATATACAATTCAAATCTGCGATTTGTTTTCCAAACTCTTAGAATGACAGAGGTCTCAGGAAAAATACTAACTGATGATATATCTTCTTCTTGAAATGGATGAGTCATTTAAAATGTTATACAATTTGCAAAGAACAAGATCTTGGTCATGGCCTATTTCCTTACTTCCCACCCGTAACTTCATATCTGGTTGGTAAGCATATCCTACATGTCAGCATCATAAACAGGTAAATAAATGCTTAACAAATACATCTTATGTTATTTTTTCTCTCAATTCCACAGCTGCCCATATACTTAAGTCTGTTCATGCCTCACCTGTGATATTAAATATTATCTGTTCCTCTGTCATGTCTTTCTAATGTGTCCTGTATTCCCATATCATAGAGACATTACAAACTACAAGTAGGATACACTATATCCAAAGTTCAACCAACCAGCATTCGTATGTGCACTCTATCATTTAAGTGTTTCTTTAAACATTCATTGTAACTTTTGAGGGACTGCCATGTCTTGGCTACTCTGGTTACGACTATGTGAGATAAAATATAAAATATATAATCTTCAAAACATAAAAAACTATATCAAACTATTTAGTATAAAATATAAGGTTCTTAATAATCTAACGTTATTTGGTTTTATTTTATTCTAACAATTTTATTATCACTGACAGAAATTGTGAGCAATTTTGTGGCTGTAACTGCTTGTGTACATACACAACCCCCAAACCCCTCATGGACATGGACACACACACACACACACACACACACACACTCATACATGCACACAAACCTACAAACCTCACAAAGTCCTAAAGAATAAAAGAAGTGTATTATAAAGCACATGGACTCTATTACAGTAGAAATTTAAGAAACTCATGATTTTGAGTTATCAGATTATTCATTTTTTTAAACAATACTATACTAATTCATTTAATTGCAAATACATTTTAATACATTTTAATGGATGTAGTGAATTTTTCACCATATCCTCAAAAAGTCTCTGACTAATGAAGTAACTTGGTGGTATAGTTTATAGAAGAATAACTATTTGACTGTGGTTTACTGAAAGCTAGGTGGCTTTATTTTGTAAGTCAGGCATTTATTTACATTGTTCATATGTTTGGTTAAGTAAGTACTGACAATTCTTAAAATACCATGTGTAATTTATATACATACTTATATATATATACTTTGTGCATATAAGATTCAAATCCAATATTGTTCTAATTAAAGCTCCTTTGATTCAATGGCCTATATCAGATATTAAGTGATTTGTGGGAAAAAGGTCTGTGCATAAACCAAAATATAATGATATAACTGGAACATAAAGGGGAGTGATAATTATATTTAATTGTGATATTTTAATTGAATGATATTTAATTATACAGAAATTAATGACTAAACAATACAAAATTTCAGAATACTTAACAAACAGCACCCAAAAAACTCAAAAACATTGTTTAGACTTAAAAGAAAAAATTTATACATTTATTTATTTTAAAAATCCTAGATTATTCAGTATTTTTCACAAAAAATAAACACCTATATGATTTATAACAATATTGTATCATGAATTTTGAAATTTGTTTGTTATATATCTAATTATACAGGATTATTTGTAGTAGTCAATCAAAAATAAATATAAAGTTGTGAAAAAGGTGTTGTCATTAAGTTTGTGATAGATGTTAGAATAAAATTGTTAATTCTTATTTTCTATAATGTAAAATAGACTAGTTTCCTTTTTTTTCCCTTCTCCCTAATAATTTTAGGCAGTTGTTAGGTATCTCTCCTTTGAAATGCGATAGTGCATTAAAAATGTTTCTTTTTATAAACTTTCCAGAGCTTACTTGACATTGCATTTGGTTATAAGCATGTTTTCTATTCTTATTAGATTTCAATATTCTTCAAGATGGAAATTGTATCTTCTACATCTATTAGTACTATAATGTCTTAGTTTGTTGGTAATTTTTACCCTCAGATATTATTCTAACAGAATTTCTTAATTTTCCCTAGACAAAAAAGTTGATATTCAATTAATTTATTAGTTGTCTTTGATGATAATAATGAGATTGTAATAAACTTAAACAAAAAGTTAACTCTTGGAAGGATATGAGGGAGTTCACTAAGTCAATGTGACCACAAAATAATCAGGAAGATCCAGTCTGGAAAGTAGCAGATGTTTGGTTTTCTTGCAGGTAATGGCAGATGAAATCACTCAGAAAACTGTGTTCTTTTATGCTCCTTTACCCTACCCCTTCTTCCTTATGAAGAAGGCTTAAGAATCATACCCTGGGGATATATTACCTGACTATCCTAGTTTGGGTCAGGTGCTTGCTCCTTGTCTAGGGGAGAAGAGGTCACCAGATTATCGACTTGACAAGTCACTGGAACAATTATAAGACATTGTAGTGTATCTAATTCAAGAATGCATAAAATAAATATTGGCCAGTAAATAAAAAAGGAAAAAAAAATAAGTGTACACTTACAGTTAAATCACCAGAACGGCATTCTTTTAGATTTTTTATTCATGTTTATACAATATGCATTATGTCATCAATTTCTTTGGCTCACATGCTTCCCCACTAAGGACTGTACCATGTTCTTCCACCAAATTTGGATATTGATTATTTCAAGGCAGAGACTTGGAAGCAAATCTGATTTAAATTCGTTTAAGGGAGTCAGTTTTTGTTTAATCTCCTTGAGTATTTACAATAACTTTTTCCATGTTGTATCCTTTATTTAATGTAGACATCAAATATGTAACAAGAGAGATGCTAGAAATAAAATGGAAAGTATCATGATAAAAAATTATGTGTGGGGACAAACACATGTGCCTAATATCCTAGTATTCTCCTCCAGTCTCCCTTCTGGGTCATCTAAAGAAGGCAAGTATTGGGAAGAGAACCAGAGAGTGAAAGAAATTGCAAAATAGCCAAAAGAGCTATTTGGAAAGTGTTTTGGTTAAGAGATATTATAACTTTTCTGTGTGCTTTGGGGCACATTGCCTTATTTTTCTTCCATTATTAATTTTTTTTCTCTAATTTTATATGGGACAATCTTTTCTTTGGGCAGAACCTTTGAAGTTCTGGCCAAATAATGAATATCATCTCATTATTATAGTCAAAGAAAACTAAAAAATTAATTAAATTTCAACTTTTTTGTTCAGGAAAAATTGAAATAAACCAGAAGTTTTAAAAATGACTCCTGCGGCAAGAAAATTTAAGATACCTTCTTGGGATGTTTTAAAGACAGACTATAATAATTCTATGTAGTCAAGCTCAGGGAAGAATGTAAGACAGTATAGATACCTCCTTCAATAGCACTTCTGTTCTATTTTAGACATTTAAACATGGTAAAAGGAGTTCAGAAGAGTGCTGTTTAAATACCCATTAACCTCATCTTGACTCTATGATATTTAAGACCAAATTTAGTTGGATTTTTTTCCT